CCCACAGCCCCCCCAGCCGGGTGCAGCTCCCTACAGGAGCCCCACGGTGACATTCTCCCTGTAGGTGCCATGGGACGATCTCCGGTACCTCTTTGGTGAAATCATGTACGGGGGGCACATCACAGACGACTGGGACCGCCGGCTGTGCCGTACCTACCTGAGCGAGTACGTCCGGGCGGAGATGCTGGAGGGGGAAGTGTCCTTGGCTCCGGGGTTTCAGATCCCTCCCAGCTTGGATTACAAGGTAAGAAAGGTTAATGTTGCAGTTCGCGGCGGAAAACCACTGCTCTGGATAAATGCACGCTCGTCACAGCTCCCTCGTGCTAACCACGGGGGAATGTAGGGCTTTTTAGAGTTTCCATCCCATGGAAACATGCAGACTCGCTGCAAAAATAATTCCTGTGGCTGGGGTGGTAAGGGAAAACCGGCTCGAATAAGCAACACCAGCGATAAGCACCCCCAAGAAAGTGATGGTGTATGGTCAAGGCTGCAGCAAAGCCGGGGCTCCACTGTGTGTGTGTGTGTGTCTGCTGAACTGACGTCAGCGCGCCCTGCTCAGGGGTACCACGAGTACATCGACGAGAACCTGCCCCCCGAGAGCCCCCACCTGTATGGTCTCCACCCCAACGCCGAGATGGGCTTCCTGACCATCACCTCCGACCGGCTCTTCCGGACGGTTCTGGAAATGCAGCCCAAAGCCGGGGCTCCACTGTGTGTGTGTGTGTGTCTGCTGAACTGACGTCAGCGCGCCCTGCTCAGGGGTACCACGAGTACATCGACGAGAACCTGCCCCCCGAGAGCCCCCACCTGTATGGTCTCCACCCCAACGCCGAGATGGGCTTCCTGACCATCACCTCCGACCGGCTCTTCCGGACGGTTCTGGAAATGCAGCCCAAAGAGTCGGACACCGGAGGAGGCTCGGGTGTCTCCCGCGAGGAAAAGGCAAGCGCAGCCTTACACCCCCCCGCGACAGCTGAGGGGCCGGGAGGGGGCTGGGGGGGACAGATATGGGCCCACACACGACCAACAGGAGAATCTGACCCCTAACACTACGGGATTTGTTATGAGTGCCGGTACAGAGCTGTGATCCCAGCCTGTACCCAACACTGTACGCTGCCAGCCTGGGGAAGGGGCAGCTGGCGCAGAGCTCAGGGAAAACCACAGCCCCTGCTCGGCTCGACGCTCCTGGTGAGTTTTTATCTAAGGGTGAGTGGGCTGATGTCATGTTCTCTCCAGGTGAAGGCAGTCCTCGATGAGATCATCGAGAAGCTGCCAGAGCCATTCAACATGGAGGAGATCATGGCGAAAGCAGAGGAAAAGACTCCGTACGTCGTCGTTGCCTTCCAGGAATGTGAAAGAATGAACATCCTGACCCATGAAATGAGGCAATCTTTGAAAGAGCTGGACCTGGGGCTGAAGGTACGCATGGGCAGCTGCCCAGGAAGCGCTTCTCCCCCCCGATAATTCCCCGGGGCTTGGAAATGGCTGCGGCTCATTGCAAGCCTTGTCCCGTGCAAAGCGTTGGCTCCCCTCGCTCACGCTCTTGCACGTCCCCGCGCTGGGTACAGCCCGGCAGCACCGGCCTCCTGCTGGGTACCGAGATCAGGACCCAACGCTTCCATCAGACTCGCTTTCTGCAGGTACAACTGCCCCGACTTGTCTCTTTTCACAGGGAGAGCTGACGATCACGGCGGATATGGAGGAGCTGGCCAACGCTCTCTTCTACGACAGCGTTCCCGACTCCTGGACGCGTTACGCCTACCCCTCCCTGCTCAGCCTGGGCGCCTGGTACACAGACCTGCTCCTTCGCATCAGGGTGAGCACGCTCCTCGTGAAAATCGCGGCTTGGGGGGCAAGCAGCTCCCAGAGAAGACCAGGAATCCCTCCATCAGTGTACAGTGGTTAACTGATTTATTTCTCAGTATTAATTCAAGCAGTTTGAAGTACCTGAAAGGGCCCGTCACCCCAGGAATGAGAAGTCTGAGAAGGGTTCATCACCTTTAGAGTATATCACTGTTTTAAAAGACCATTAGCTAACCCCAGCATAACTTTATACGGCTCAGAAGAAAAAAATATTTAATAGACCCATCCGTTTAAAGTGTGGCTTTGTTAAAAAAAATAGCAGCAGTATTTACTGCAATCCCAGTTACCAGTTTAATTGCTGCAGTGGAATCTGCTGTTTGTCCATCCCAGCCCCCCTCCACCCTCATCTCCCCCTGCGGAGGGTCACCTGGAGCTCGTGTGAGGCACTGGGAAGCAGCAGCCCTTTGTCACACCCCATCTCACAGCAATATTCCGCTGCCCAGAGGCCGTGCTCTGCTCTGAAGTACTTTGCTGGTTCTACTTTCCAGGAGCTGGAAGTCTGGACGACAGACTTTGTGCTGCCCGCGACGGTGTGGCTGGCAGGATTCTTCAACCCCCAGTCCTTCCTCACCGCCATCATGCAGTCCATGGCCAGAAAAAATGACTGGCCGCTGGACAAGATGTGTCTGTCGGTGGAAGTGACCAAGAAGTACCGTGAGGAGATAACAGCTCCACCCAGAGAAGGCTCCTACGTGCACGGATTATTCATGGAAGGTAAGAGACCGCAGCTTTTATGAGAAGTTTCAGACACGGAGAAAGCCCAGTTCAGCCGTAGCAATTCTTGCAAACAGAGCAGGTGCTAGTACTCGCTGGCTTGTCTGAGCTCGTACCGCTTTTAAAAACGCTCCAGGCAGTGGAGCCTTTCTTCCACGCTAAGGTCAGACACGCCAGCTGAGGGCAGCCCCCGGCCGCTTCACCGGCAGCCTTCCACAAACCAGAAACTGGTTCTGGAAAGTGAGACTGCACATCAAGGAACTGAGACTGAGCTGTCTGGAGCTACAGGGTTCTAGTGAATAAATACGTTACACTCTTATGGGATGTGCGAGTAAGG